GTTAAAGAAAGTCATTTCGGGAGAAAACGGGCATGAACTTCAGCGTCAGAATTTGCACATCCGTCTGTCTGTGCGGGGCAGGAACCTGGCAGCTCCCGCTGAAGTTAGGCGCCAGTCTTTCGCCCCCTCGTGGCCCCAGGCGGCACCCCAGCATCTCCCTCTTTCTGGACAAGCCCCTTCCCACTGGTTGTATTTCACGTTGGGAGCCGAGACTGGGTGGTCTCGCCAGGTGGCTGTAGCTGCGGATGGTGAGTTGGTTCTAGGACTGAGGCCTCAGGGCAGCTCAGCCTGGAGACCCTCGTACACGTAGTCACAGAGCCCAGGATTCCTCTTAAAGAGCACAGACCTGGGTCAGGCACAGTGACTCATGCCTGGAATCTCAGCAAATGGGGAGGCCGAGGCCAGAGGATCCCTTGAGCCCAGGAGTTCGAGACCCGCCTGGGCAACATAGTGAGGCCCTGTCTGTATTTGACAAACAAACAAAGAGTACAGACCCAGGAGGAAGCTCATATCCACCCCAGTCTCAGCCTCCAGCCATGTCAGGTATTATCAGGCCATTTTACAGACACAGCAGCTGAGGTCAGGCAAGTTTAAATAAAAAGCTTAAGGTCACACAGCCTTAAACAACAGAGAGCCCCTCTGGTCTCAAGTTTCCCTGCAGACTCAGCCCCCTCCTGAAGCCCAGCCTGGCTGAGCGCTGACCTGGTCTTCTCGGCCACACAGGGCTGTGGGCCGCCTGGAGCAAGCTGACGTTTCCTGTGACAATTTCTCCCCAGGTTAACACCACTCTGCCAGCCAGGACGCTGCTGCTCGGCTGGGGCCCCTATGCCATCCTGTATCTATATGCGGTCATCGCAGACGTGACTTCCATCTCCCCCAAACTGCAGATGGTATAGATACTTCTCGTACCCAGAACTAGACCCCTCTCGTCTTTGTGTCTGTCTCACCTCATGTCTCTTTGTGGATTTATGGCCTCTGTGCCAGTCTCTTCCTCTCTGTTTCTTCCTTTGCATACTCACAATGCATAGAGCATTAGTTAGCCCCCCTAATCCCCTACCTCATTACTGAGTTAGACCAGGCTGCTTTTTGACATTGCCCAAATCTCAGGGACAGCCAGCCAGATGTTGCACATAAAGATTCTGTGAACAGGGGTTGAGATTGGTGCCCAGGCGGGGAGCAGGTGCGCCTGGACAGGAGTGTGGCTGCATGGGGCTCCGTGAGCCCTGCGTCTCCTCCAGCTAATCAGGGAGGGCTCCAAGCCTACAGAACCCAACGATTGGCAGCTGCAGGGGGAGGGTGACTGGGGTCACCAGGTGGGACCAGAGAGAGGTGCAGTGGCTTTGAAGCTTTCTTGGACTTTTCTGCCACAACAGGTGCCCGCCCTCATTGCCAAAATGGTGCCCACGATCAACGCCATCAATTATGCCTTGGGCAACGAGATGGTCTGCAGGGGAATCTGGCAGTGCCTCTCACCGCAGAAGAGCGAGAAGGACCGAGCCAAGTGAGGCTGCCACCCTGGACTGAGCCCCAGGCCAGGAGGCTGACCCAGGAGTCCTGCCCAGCAGCCTCAGCAGCCAAGCCCAGACACTCTCCCACCATCCTCGGTGGCCCCTGGAGCCTGGCCCTAGGCTGGACACAAGGATTCAGAAAGACACCAGGCTGCATGGAAAGAGCCAGGTGGACCTGAGTGTCGGTCACAGCCCTCTACACTCAAGGCTGAGAGGCCTCAGGAAAGTCACTGCTTTTTAAAAGTAATAATAAACTCAAGGGAGTAGAGGGCAGTTTTGTTACATGGATAGATTGCCTACTGGTGAAGTCTGGGCTTTTAGTGTAACCATCACCCTAATAATACACATTGTACCCATTCAGTCATTTCTCATCTTTCACCCCCTCCCACCTTGTCACCCTTCTGAGCCTCCAATATCTATGAACTCCATGTCCATGTGTGCACATTTTTAAGCTCCCACTTACAAGTGAGAACATGTGGTATTTGACTTTCTGTTTGAGTTATTTCACTTAAAATAATGACCATCCATGTTGCTGCAAAAGACATGATCTCATTCTTTTTTATGGCAGTGTAGTATTCCATATATATATGAACATTTTCTTTATCCAATCATCTGTTGATGGGTTGATTCCATATCTTTACTACTGTGAACAGTGCTGTGATAAACATATAAGGGCAGGTTTCTTTCTGATATGCTGATTTCTTTTCCTCTGCGTAGATACCAGTAGTGGGACTGCTAAATCAAATGGTAGCTCCATTTTTTTTGTTTGTTTGTTTTTGAGACGGAGTTTCACTCATGTTACCCAGGCTGGAGTACAATGGCGTGATCTCGGCTCACCGCAACCTCCGCCTTCTGGGTTCAGGCAATTCTCCTGCCTCAGCCTCCTGAGTAGCTGGGATTACAGGCACGCACCACTATGCCCAGCTAATTTTTTGTATTTTTAGTAGAGACGGGGTTTCACCATGTTGACGAGGATGGTCTCGATCTCTTGACCTCGTGATCCACCCGCCTCGGCCTCCCAAAGTGCTGGGATTACAGGCTTGAGCCACCGTGCCCGGCCAAGGTAGCTCCATTTTTAAGACAGTATGGAGAAATCACCATACCGCTTTCCACAGGGGTTGTACTAATTTACAGTCTCACCAACAGTGCACAGGTGTTCCCTTTTCTCTGCATCCTCACCAGTATCTGTTATTTTTTGACTTTTTAATAATAGCCATTCTCACTGGTGTGAGATAAGATCTCATTGTGGTTTTAACTTCCATTTCGCTAATGACTAGTGATGTTGAGTATTTTTTCATATGTTTCTTAGCCATCCATATGTTTTCTTTTTGAAAAAAGTATCTACTCATGTCTTTTGCCCATTTTTTAATGGTGTTATTTGGACTTTTTTGTTGAGTTGAGTTTCTTATATATTCTGGATAATAGTCCCCAACAGGACAACATAGTTTGGAAATATTTTCTCCTGTTCTGCAGGTTGTCTGTTCATTCTGTTGATGGTTTATTCTGCTGTGCAGAAATTTTGGTTTAATTAAGTCTCATTTGTCTTTTTTTGGTTTTGTTGCTTGTGCTTTTGAGGTTTTTGTCATAAATTCTTTGCCTAGACCAATAATGCCCAGAAGAATTTTTCCTAGATTTTCTTCTAAGATTTTTACAGTGTCAGTTCTTACACTTAAATCTTTAATCCATCTTGAGCTGATTTTTTTTTTTTAACAGGGTCCTGCTCTGTCACCCAGGCTGGAGTGCAGCGGTGCCATCATAGCTCACTGCAAACTTCACCTCCCAGGTTGAAGCAGTTCTCATGCCCCAGCCTCCTGAGTAGCTGGGGTTACAGGCACATACCACCAAGCCTGGCTTTTTTTTTTGTTTGTTTGTTTTTGTTTTTGTTTTTAGTAGAGACAGTGTTTCACCATGTTGGACATGATGGTCTCGAACTCCTGACCTTGGGTGACCTACCTGCCTCCCAAAGTGCTGGGATTACAGGCATGAGCCACCATGCCTCGTCTTGAGTTGATTTTTATATATAGTGAGAGATATGGGTCCAGTCACATTTTTCTGCATATGGCAATCCAATTTTGCCAGCACCATTTATTGAACAGGTTGTCCTAACATCACTCCTTCTAAACCTTCTAACCCTTAACATGAAGACGTTAAATGGACCTCACAGGGTTGATGTGAGGCTGGAAGGTAACATGTACTCACTAAGCACATAGAAAATACTCATTAAAACAGAGCTGCTTGTTAAATCTTGGCCACACCCTCCAGGGACTCAGTCTTACATAGAAAGGGGTCAAAGCCTCGGGGTTTGCTTGTGGGAGCTCAAGCTAGGCTGCCAGCGTTCAAATACCACCAATTAAACTGTGATCTGCTGCCAGTCACTTCTGCCTGTGCATCATTTCCCAAGCTGGGAGGCAGGATGACGGCAGTGGCAACCTGACTGCATAGAAAGGACCAGAACATTCCCTGGCGAGTGCACAGTCCTGGGTGAGACCCAGGGCCTTGCAGGGAAATGGAGATGGTGAGCAGAACATTCCCTGACATGGTAAGTCCTCACAGAGTGTCAGCCACCAGCACATGCCAGTCAAAGACAGCCTCTGGTAATATGGGGCTTGGCCTGCACATTGTTTTAAAATGTTTTGAGGTTCATTGCCAACACTGAAAAATCAGGAGAATTTATTTAAGTCCAGATGTCAGAAGATGAGGTCTTACCAGGCTGTCTTCCTACAAGGTCCCAGTTTGCAGGGCTCAGGGCAGCTGGACCCGTTGACCAGGACACATGCTCTTCTGTCAGCTGCAGTCCCTGTGCTCCCTGTGGATCCTGTGGGCCTCTGGATTTGTGACTAGAGCCATCCCGGGTCCCCAAGAGAAGGAGACAAGGCCAAACACATCAGCATCCTCACCTGTGCTCAGAGGAGAAGCAGGGAGGAAGGCAGTTTGGCCAGGCTGCTTTCAGGGATGGCTTAAGCTCAAGCCCTGCATCCCCAAGGCTTCCTGGAGGAGGGAAATGTGAGCTTGGGCATAGCCACCCTGGCCTGAGTTGGCAGGAGATGCCACGTTGGCCATCACAGACACCGCAATGCTCTCTCCAAGTTCCATGCAGCCCTGAAGAACTGCGGCCACATGTGGAAAGGGGAACAAGACCAAGGGTGAAGGCCAAGTCTGGAGAAGTCAGGAAGGAAAAAATAAGTGTGAAAACAGCAGAAACAGTGCCAGAGCCTCATCTGCAGAGCACAAGGGCTCAGGGCATCTTCATCGGAGGCCCGGAGAATCTGCCCAACCTTCCTTTGTCCTGGCCTCTAGCCACACTCTACACTAAAGAACACACTGATACAGACCCACAGACTGGACTTGGAAGGGGCCACCAGGAGGCAGGTGGACGTCCAGAACCATCAAGCACCAAGCACCAGAAAATGCTACCTCCAGTAATCACTTCCTTATTTGTAAGCCAGCATCCATTTCACTCCCTGAATCCCTGTTTGTGTTACTTAGTTCTGACATAGTCACGTATCCATCCAATATGTATCTGCCGAACAGCTGCTGTGTGTCAGACACGTGCTTGATGTGATGATGCGGTACCAAGATCCTTTCCAGATACTGCTCAAAAATGTCCACTGTCTCTTTATCTGTTACATTTGTGTGTAAAATACAGGTGTTAACAATAGCTAGGAAATCAAAGGTAGAAATTACAGTACAGCTGTGTCCAAGTAAGTGGAATCAGGTATAATAATAAGCTTTATCATGACAGCCCGGAAGATTCTTTTAAAATCTCTGCAAGTCCTTATCACAAAACTAAACACTTATCCCAGGCTCTAGATAATTCAGCGTGCACTCTGCTTCATTGTGAACTTGGTTTAATTGTATTTCAAGAGAATTATCCCCCACTGACTTTCAATGAACAGCCAATTTTAGTCCCATTCTGGATTTAAAAAAATTTCTATTTGACTTGGGAACCATTTTTTTTTCTTTTTTCTTTTCTTTCTCTCTTTTTTAAACCACATAGTCCTCTGTAAGCAAACCACCATTATTTCTAAGAAGAGTTTTCCCTAAATTGCAATCCACAGAGGAAGGCCCCATAACATGCACTCCTGTGGTGTGACCAGGCCCTGACGTCCCCTCGCTGGGTAGCCTTGGGAGTCAAGACCCGCTCAGGTCCATCCCCTCCATCATCTCAGTCCCTGGGAGCTCTGACACAGGAGAAGGTTCTCAAACACTATCGAAATTTTTTTCTCCAAACTAGATGCTTGTGGTGGACTGAATGTTTGTGTCCCCTGAAATTCCTTTGTTGAAACACTAATGCCAAGTGTGGCTGTACTGGAAGTACAGTTAAATGAAATCATAACAGTGGAGGCCTGACCCCATAATATTGTGTCCTTATGAGAAGAGACACCAGAGAGCCTGAACTCTCTCTTCCCCCACCCCACGCAAACCTCTGGGAAAGACCATGTGAGCTTACTGTGAAAAGTTGGCCCAGCCCAAGGAGAGAGCCCTCAGCAGACACCAACACTGCCGGCACCTTGATCTCAGACTTCCAGAAATGTGCAAAATAAATTTCTGTTGCTTGAGCCACCCAGTCTATGTATTTGTTATAGCAGCTTTAACAAACTAATACAATGTTACATCAAAGCTCATCATTGAAACAGATGATAGTGGAGGGGACCAACAGCCCAGCTGGTACCTCTAGCCCCAGAACACCCAGTGCCACTTCTGCAGAACCCCAGGATTGTACAAAACCCAATTTAAATGTCACCAAATTTGGCTTCTAAGATTCCTCCCACTCTAGGATCCACATTTCTCCATCTATTTGTGTCCTTTCTTATTTCGTTGAGCAGTGGTTTGTAGTTCTCCTTGAAGAGGTCCTTTACATCCTTTGCTAGTTGTATTCCTAGGTATTTTATTCTATCTGTAGCAATTCTGAATGGGAGTTCACTCATTATTTGGCTCTCTGTTATTGGTGTATAGCGAAGCTTGTAATTTTTACACATTAATTATGTATCCTGAGACTTTGCTGAAATTGCTTATCAGCTAAAGGAGATTTTGTGCTGAGATGATGGGGTCTTGTAAATATACAGTCATGCCATCTGCAAATAGAGACAATTGAATTTTTTCTAATTGAATATCCTTTATTTCTTTTTCTTGCTTGATTGCCCTGGACAGAATGTCCAATACTATGTTGAATAGAAGTGATGAGAGCGGGCATCCTTGTCTTGTGCCAGTTTTCAAAGGGAATGCTTCCACTTTTTTCCCATTCAGTATGATATTGGCTGTGGGTTTGTCATAGATAGCTTTTATTATTTTGAGATACATACCACTGATATCTAGTTTTCTGAGAGTTTTTAGCATGAAGGGCTGTTGAATTTTGTCGAAGGCCTTCTCTGCATCTATTGAGATAATCATGTGGTTTTTGTCTTTGGTTCTCTTTATGTGATGGATTACATTTATAGACTTGCATATGTTGAACCAAACTTGCATCCCAGGGATGAAGCCTACTTGATCG